AGAGAGAGAGAGAGAGAGAGAGAGAGAGAGAGAGAATGTTTTACGGAGCTGGTTGTCCCAGCACGTGAGACATGTATTTACTAATGTCCTGTACTGCCATTGTACAGGACCAAAACAAATTTCTCGCCGCGAGATGAATAAGGATTGTCGTTGTCATAGTCATTGTCATACACATGCATGCTTTCAAGAAAAAGTTTTTTTTCTAGTTTTAGTAGAGTTTTTACTGCGCTAGCAACTGCATAAGGTCATATGAGCGCCAAAGGGTGGATGTCAACAGAAAAGTCCATACAGGGAATCAGACTTACTCTGCTGACCTCTCTAGCTGCTCCGACTATCAGGGCACCCGGAAATAGCGGTTCACAAGAGTGTGACAAACATGCAAAAAAAGTAGAGGAAAAAAGACAATAGTAAGGACTAGGAAAGAAAAAGCAGCAATTCTCTGTTGAAGTTCAGGCACAGTTATGAGCATGACCTTAATAAATCAGTCCATTTACAATTATAATTCTACTGAGCATAAGAACATTTTAATGTCCCCCTTTTGGGAATGGCCTAAAGACACTTCAGTCAGTAGAACCGCTCCGGGGGGTAATAACCTTTGTAACATCCATTGCCATTGTAAACGACCAAGACAAATTTCTCCCTGCGAGATGAATAAAGATTGTCACTGTCATTGTCATTGTCATACACATGCATACTTCCAAGAGAAAGAAAGAAAGAAAAAAAGAGAAAGAAGGAGCGAAGGTGTGTTTTCCCCGTCACACGTACCACAGTGAGCGCCGTGATGTCTATCAAATCCATGGTGTCGAGCGGCAGGAGCTCCACATACTCTGTCATGACGGCCATCAAACTCTTGAGGCGGTGGGTCCTGGACAGGCCCGTCAGCTTGTTCTGGGGGACACACGGACAAAGGAAGGCTACGCTAGATTTACACTTAACACACCCCCTCCCCAGCAAAAAAAAATAAAACAAAAAAGCTAGTACAACAACCCTCACGCCCCCCCCCAAAGAAACAAAACAAACCAACAATAAACAACCAACAAACAAAACAACAACAGCAACCAAAGAACCGAACAATCAAACAAACCAACAAACTTAGAAACATCTTTCACGAATAACGTCATTGAGACACAAATGCAGCTCCCCCCCCCCTTTTCCGGTGAGTAGAAACACAGAACGTGTGAACTTGGTCAAATACGTTTCAAATGAAGTGGGGGAGGGGTATAAAGTAACCCTGTTCCCAAACAAAGCTAAACATCATTTATGAGAAGCGTTTATTAAGTGGTGACGGGTGCTGCACAGTTGCAGGCTATGGACGTGGATTCGAGTCCTACATGTGGAAGTCTATTCATCTATTGAGTAGCTTCGTGTTTTTTTTTGTTTTTCTGGGGGGTTACGGTATCTCACTCAGCCACGTCCTCACTTTTTATACTCTTCTATATGATGATGTTTTAGCAAGAGTTTTTCGGCATTTACAAGGTAAAAGGATCGCAC